AGGTGGAGGTTCAACTGAAGAAACTCATTGCTCTCCTACATCCACCGGCGACACAGCCAATCAGTTTTGAACCACACCTCCATGAAGGCCGATCGGCATCCAGAGTTAATCTGAAAGGCCTCCGATCCGCAACTCGTCTGCTCCTGTGTGCAGACGGTGGTTGCGCCGTGTGACTTTATGCAGAGGAGACTGTTTCAACCCACCTCCAGCCCAGGGGTTTCTTCCCAACGGGGAGTTTTTCCTCTCCACTGTCACTTCATGCTTTCTCATCGTGGACAGGTTCTATCAACCTGTGTTATCCAAACTGGACTTCCAGGTCCCTTAGTAAAGCTCTAGTATCAGCTCACACAGTCCACTTAATCTCCCCATAAAGCTCAGCAGACCGTCTCTCTAACCAGCAGTCTACAGACTGACCAACTTCATCTATCTTCACTCCACCACCAGTTTCAGGCCTGGGGGGGNTCAGCAGACCGTCTCTCTAACCAGCAGTCTACAGACTGACCAACTTCATCTATCTTCACTCCACCACCAGTTTCAGGCCTGGGGGGGAAACAGCCCTATTCTTTGCTCCTGTTCATGCATATCTATCAAATTTAAGCACCATTTTTCCTGCTAAGGTCTGAGCGCCACAGACAAAGTAATTGTATAAATACATTTCTTCTAATTGTCTTTTCTCTTCGTGTGAGTTTTTCAGATTGAAATAAAGTCAGTTTTTTACCATCAGAAAAATTTGATCTTTATAGCTAATGTTAACCATCTTGCTAATTACCCTACTTTCCACTAACTTTCCCAGTCAATGTTTGGAATGTTAGTTTTCCTCACCTTCCAGCCTACAAAACAAAATTGTCCCAGGCTTTCGTTTCGATATTTGACGCCGGACCAGCCCTTAAAGCATCACAAGTGCTCCCTCCCAGCTGCCTTCTTTGCGTATAATTCCCCTCATATTATTTCTCATAAAGTATGGCTGCTATTAGTTAAATCCACATGCAATGTTTGCCTCTCTAGCCAATGAAATAAAATTTAAAACAAGGGTAAGCATGGCTAATTTGAATAGTGCAGCCCGGATATATAGCCGGGATATATAGCCATGCTGTCAGGCAGCATCTCATCCCGGACAACTGCAGACTATTAGATAATTAGATGGAAAGTTAAAAATATATATATATATTTTTTGGCCATCAAAATGTTCCAGTGTTATTTTTTCGGTTAAATTGTTGAGTAACAGCAATAAGCACAATTTGAAATAATTGGTATATTTAGAGAGGTTTGGAGATGCTGATGACTCCAGAAGTTAAAAGTCACATATCTTGGGAACTTTTATACCTACAGGTTTTAAATTTTGTTGTTGTTGTTGACATAATGCAGAATAAATGCAAAACAAGGACTATTTAAATAAGACCTATTATTTTGGAGCAATGAAGATTTAATTGATCTGTGTGTAATGCCTAATTCATAGTAGATCAGGAAGTATTTGCTTTATGAAAACCATGTATGTTTAAAACCCTTCCTTTACTGTACATTTTGTTAGCTTGTCTGCCTGCTATAGTAATCAATATGATGTGTTGAACTAGATCTGCTATTTTCACAACCTTTGAGACACTTTTTTTTGAAAAGTAGTACATTAATTCATAAAAAAGTTTATTTGAATTTTATAAATCAAAGTTTTCTACCCAAGAGCAATGGTGAACTGCATGGCAGCATTCTATACCCAGCTATTGTAGTATCTATGCTAGAGCTGTCAGTCTGGTAAAGAATCTGAGTGTTATTCAAAGTTGTAAAGGTTAACTTTTTTTTTTGCAACCTAACACTAGACTAAAACCTTTTTAAGTTTTGGTGAACTAAAACCCAATATAAAACTATCACATATCGTAATGGTTAAAATGTGACTAAGACTAATAATAGTTTTCGTTCTTAAAGGAATAGTACACCCAAAACATGATTAGCCTTCATTTTCTACTCACCCCCATGCTAAACAACTCTCTGGAGTAC